AGAAGAATTTGTTACTAAATTGTTTTACATCCCCGTGCAATGCAGCACGAGACTTATTTGAAGAGAAAGCTACGCCGGAAAAGTTAAAATACAGGAGCACGTAAATTTAATAAATAAATAAATATCTCGTAATTGCTTTTCCAGAAAACTCGAGAAATAAAAATTACCAGAATATTCTCATTTAAAAAGCTTATAAAAGCCGGATCAAAACATATCAGTTCAGTTGCTTGCAAAGTTGTTTACTTAGTGCTGTTATTGACTGCAGCGAATTCGTGGTGAAATCGGATTAGGTTTCTCTGTTTTTAATTGAGTTCTATTAAATGTTTTAGTAGTTTGAAATATAACTACTGTGAGATATTGCGATACTGTACGAATATCTCTGAGGAAATTTCAGCATTTTCTTTTATTTCTTGGGATAAGAAAAAATTTTATTAACTTTTTATTAACTTGCGCATTCAATCCATTACGAACCCGTATGCATGCAACAACACTTTTCGGAAGATAGTGTGGAGAAATTTATGTGGATCTAAAGATCCTTTTCATTTGCAAGGTGATTAGAAGTTTTGGATTTCAATCAAAAAAGCTCTAAGGATCCTCATTCCCTTTGCGACATCCTATCTGTGCAGAGCTTGGTTTTCAGCTGTCGCTCTAATAAAGACCAAATCGAAAATCAATATGGAGCAAAAAATGAAAATAGCTGTCTCGAGTCATTTTCCGTGATTTGAAAAACTGCAGGTGGATTTAGAAGCTTACCTGTTAGAACGAGTTTCTAATTTCTTATTGAAGGTTTCTTTTATTCCTTTATTTGAATGTTTTCTGATCAATTAAAATTACTACACTTTTTTCACTAAAATGTTGTTTTTATTTTTAAGCCTGATTTTTGTTATGGTAGAAATATTGCAACAGGGGCACCCTGAAAAAAATAAACTGTAAGTGCGCAGCATACTGAACAAGTTTGGGAACCCCTGCTCTAGAGGTAAACAGATTAATAGATTCCAAAAGGTGGTAGGGGCCATGTTAGTTGGGATTGGCTAAAGATATTGGCCTACCTCAAATCTAGTTGAAAATAAAAAGGAAAGAATAGCTGAAAAGAAAAGGGTACTTCAGTATTAAATTGCGATAGCTATATGAATTCATGGAAAACGGGTTATTTTTCGACATACACGAAAATTTTAAGAATGGTAGCATGGATGCTTAGATGCATTAGGAATGCACAAAATGGTAAGAAGTAAAAACTGGAGAATTGAAAGTGTATGAACTATTTGCAGCATAGAAAACTCTTGTGAAGTTAATGTAATAAGAAATATTTGACCTAGCAACCGTTAAGAAATTGAAACCAATAAGTTTCTTATTTACGGACGGAGAAAATATAATGAGAGTCAACGTCAAGCTGACTGAAAGAAAAGATAATGAAAATTATTTTATCTACCCCATGCTGCTTCCAAGTAATCATAAACTTTGTTGGATATATCATTAAGATAATGAATGAATATAAGATATGAATTCAAAGATGCGCCATGCTGCCTTATAAGCTAACAGAATTTATTCTGGATGCTTAAAAGTAGGAAGCAGTTCAAAGAATTATATCCCAATGCATCAAATGTAAAAATCATAAAGCTAAAAAAATGGAGAGTATTCCAGTATCTTTAACTAACGAAAATATAGTTCGAGACGCTTCTGTTTTTGAGATCTGTGGAGTGGACTTAACAATCTAGATCATTTATGTATGTCTCTGATGATTCACAGGACCTTATTCCATTGACCCCAGCATTGTTTCTGGGAGAAACTAAAGAAGTTGAAGTATCCAACTTATATCAAATCAATAAAATAAACCTTAAAAAAAGTTAAGATGTCAGCAAGATTTCAGAAATATTTTGAGAGAGAAATCTAAAAGTGAGTATCTTGGTCAACATATTCAACATCTGCAAAAGCCTTAAGATTGCTTCAATGTAAATGCTGGAGACATCATCCTAATTTAAACTGAAGGAAAACGGAGAACATTCTGGTCAGTGGCTAAGTTAATTGATGTATATCCAAGTAAAGATGGAAAGATTAGAGTAGTTCGAGTTCAAACAGAGTATACAGAGATGGTACAACCCATTCAAAAAATTTTTCTTTTGGAAACATCTGCATCAGTTGAAAAGGATCCAAACAAAGAAAAGAAACTTTCCTTGCCTGATTAATCTCTTCGTGCCCCACCAATGAACCAAAAACTGTTGTGACAAGAAGTGGAAAGATTATTAAGTTACCTCCTAGATTTTTGGATTGAGCTTTTAAAGTAAATTATTATTTTTAACTAAGAACTTTATTGCATATTTTGATTACTAATTGTGTAATCATTATTAATCAAAGGGTGGAAGGACTGTGATGTAAATTCTAACTGCAACCGTATTCCAAATGCCTCTCGACTAGGCAACTGTTCCAAAGACATTTTTTAGATTGTATGCATCATGACTTGTCATAAAATTGTGTAACTAAATAAATTAGTGAAAAAAGGTTTATAAGGAGAAAGCAGATTTAGCACTCTAACCACTCTCAATACTAGCTAGTTAATATTTTATCATATTAAGGATAGGTTTTCTTTTGTCATGATCAGTTCTAACTTATGAATTTAAAAATGTCAGTGGGTTATTAGTATTTATTCTAAAACATGCAAATTTCTCTCAGATCAAGACTTGAATTCAGCTAAAGTCTGGTTCCAGTACTTATCAGTTTTTCTTTTAATGAAACAGTAATTCTAGCCAGAGCTTACTGGAGCTTCAAATCAACTCCACTGTACACTTGAATAGCAATAATAACAGAAAGCATTGTTAACAGAAAATATTTATGCCGTATTTTATTTAGGAGTTAGATATTTACCAAACCTGATCTTGGTACTACAAACAAAATGAGTGATTCAACTTCCATGAGGAGAGCAAAATGTGTCAGAAATTTTCAGCAGGTGAGGAAGAAAATTCTTCTAGTCCAAATGAGAACCTCCCAAAAATTTTTCTGAGCTACACTCATTTGGTCAAAATGTGTTTCAATGGATTAGAAACCCAAATAAAAATCCATATATATCTCAGTGCAAAGAAAAGAATTTTTCCCCCACTAAGCTAGCTATAAATGCATTTTTATTTTTCTCAGAATGAAAATATTTATTTTTGATTTATTGTCCGCTTAGACTGTAAAGTGATTATTAGCAGAGGCTGAATACTAGTCTAAATGGCAGGGTGAGGGTTTGAATCCTGTGAAAGGATTGGTTTATTTATAGGCTTGTGTCATTTATTTACACACATTAGGTTCCTATTAAGTATAGGAACACATTAGGTTCCTATTAAGTAACCATTTATTCATAACATTGCGAATGAACGACCCTCTAAAACATTCTAAAAAACTTGCCAAGGGTGTGTATCCTAGAATACCTGCGATTCCAGGGGGCATTCCGGTGTCCCGGTTGAATATTTCTGAAATCTGGCAAGCCTAGTTATAGAGAACCTTTGCTGAAATCGTTTACTAGATTTGGCGCTTTCACATATATATTTTTTATATTTACTGGAATTTTTTTTTTTTTTGGTCCCTAAAACAGAATTATACCAATATTTTTTATTGCTTGAACTAAATGATTTATAAATTGCAATTAAAAAATCACCTGAATACCATATAAAGGAAATGGTGATTTCTTAATTTATTTCAACCAAAAAGCACAGTCACACTTCACAAAAAGACAATACACAAAAGAAATTTTTTTTTCCCTTCAAAAAGAATATATAACGAAAAATGAGAAATCAATTATCTGTATTGCGAAATTGCAATATGTCCAAGAAAAAAAAAACGTTAAGCTTGATTCTAAAAATAAGTGTAAATCTGTAAACTTTCTCAAATGAGAAATTTCCTCTTTATTCCAGTTTATCCAAAATTTTCTTAAATACATTTAACAACACACACACTATAACTGAATGGTTTCTGTTTTTTTTTTTTTTTTTTTTTTTTTTTTTTTTTTTTTTTTTTTTTTCTTGAGATTGAAAATAAACTTGCACATAAAAATTTATATCATGTGGAAATACCATTAGTATTCAGATGAAACTTACAAGAATGAGATGCTGATTTTGCCAATACCAGCACCGACAGCATTAGTGTTCAACTTTTATATGGCACAAAGATGAATCAATAACTGATTAACATACTTTATTTACTGATTATAGTTCAAAGTATATTATAATGTGATATGCATCAATCATGCAAAAACTAAACTGTTTATAAACTTGTTACTCTTTGTAATAATTGGATATAAACTATTAACAAATTTTATCTGAAAAAATTTCCATTTCAGCATTTCGTACCTTAAATCTGATGAATTTAAAATTTTTATTGCATGCATTTTATAATTTTACACATCATGCAATATTTAACAATATACTAATATGCAGTACTATAGCCAACTTTCGAAAACAAGCAATTCTAACTTCCATTCATAAATATATATATTTTTTTTAAATCTGGTATTCAGCAGCATGCCCTTTAAGAAAACTCAGGGTATGCCTTTGCTTTTAACAGATACTGTAACATGATGACTGTCACTCACCAATAAAATTGGAGTATCTGCTCTGTATCACGTGACTGGATGTGAAAAAACTCAGATGGACAGATTGCTTAATAAGCGTGACAACAAGCTGATTACTCTTTTTATTTGTACTTAATGTGAATATTTTTCGTAAAATGAATATGCGCACCATGCCTTATATCTTAAATTATGTTCCTTGAGATATCCTTTCTCTTAATTTTATGAAAAGAAGTTTGTTATATAGCAATTTTTTTTATTAATTTATAAACTTTCATTTGAATTATTTTTATCATTCACTAAATTTGATTTTAGTATTAAATTTTAGCAAAATTAATTTGTTTTTAAAAATAAAGCTTTACCATTTCATCAATAAATCCATTTCATCTCATAATTTAGAACATTAATTTATAGTAGTATGATTAAATAGTTATTTTTCTAAAGTACTGAAAATACTTACCAGCAGGACAAAATCTCTGCTCTGGCCCATCAAAAATTTTCAAGTTTCTTTCAACAGGAACAGAATCATCTAATAAAGTTAAATGAGGTGGCTGATCTACATGGTTTGTTCCTGTCAGTGCTACAGATGACAATAAATCGAAAGTTATAACACCATCAGGTTTTGGATATACTATAGGTTTACATTCGGATGCAGGCTTTAGTTTAGCATAGTCAGCACCTGAAATTATATTTAATAAGAACCAACAAAGAAAAGCATTCAAATATCAAATGGTGATTACATATTTTTATTAAAGCCTGATACTCACTGCAAACAGTTTAAATCAGTGTTTTCAAACTTCCCCCCCCACCAAGCCCCACCTAAGCCTTTCTTAAATTTTGATGCCCTCTATGTAATATATACATAATTTTGAATATTCAAAAATTGAATTATTCACTGAATGAAGCCTAAATGACAACTTGTTCAGGATACAGGACTTAGGCTTAAGGAAGAAATCACTGTGAAATTGTAAAGAAAAAACAGTAAATAAATTTTTAAAACATATAACTTTTTAAACATGTAACTGAGATCTGATATTCAAGTACAAAATAATTCTAGTGAAAGATTTTTTATGACATTTTAATTATTAACAATATTTTAATTATTTAATAATTTCAGGATACAATGTAAGGTCTCTTCTAGATAAATATACTAAATTATTGAGATCCTTGTGCTTGATGCTTGCGGATATTAGGCTCCAATTTAATCAGCTTCACTCTCAAGTCTTTCCCTTTTGCGATATCCAGTCAATTTCTTATCTTCAGCAAAAAAATCATTTACATAACTAAATCCTCATTCAGTTAAATATGGAGATTGAAATGATAACAATAGTTTTCTTGCAAAGTTGGTTTAATTTACGTATTTAATTTCTGTTTCATCACAAAGCTATGTCTTCACTCCTTTCATATTAAATAAAGTTTTAACTAACTTATTATTTTGAAATTTTTCTTGGTATTGCTGTGAAACATCAAACAAATCCACTAACATTGTTTGCACCATCCAGGTCGAAAAATGAATTTGTTTTAAATCAGAAAATCTTTAAATTAGCCCACAGAATTTTCAGATGGTTGACAATAACAAGTATCAATTACTTCCTACTTTTACAGCCAATAACACTTTTCAAAATTTTTCTTACAAACATATTTTTTGACAAAATTCAATAAATGTAAAGAAATTGAATATCTTTTTGCTTTTGCATCAACAAAAGTGTATTTGTTCCTAGAAACTGTTGATTTAATATATTTAGTTTTTCAAAAATATTGACTAAATAACTCATATCATTAACAAACCATTACCATTGATTATTAAAAAATGCTTCATTTCAGGTAATTCCATAAATCTCTTCAAGAAGTTCCTTTTCAAGAGAGAATTCTGAACTAAAAGTCTCACATGGTCTCTAAATGTTAGACAGCCTGAAGAGATACTGCCATCTTGCACTAGCTTTAATAGTACTGATATACTTTATAACTGATTTTAGTATGATTTTAGAACTTCATTAAGAACAGGAAAAATTTTTGTAACTACCAAGCTCTCACTGTGATAATGCATTGCACAAGAATCATTTCTGGATTCGCATCTTTCGTCAGTTTTAAGCAGCCATTCTTCTTGCTTGTCATACTACTAGAAGGATCATCTGCAGCACATGTTACATTTTTCATTGGTATATAATTGATATCTAAGCAATTTATTATATATATCTTTGGAGGTAGAGGTGCCCTCTAATGATTTACAGAATAACATTTCTTCAGAAAAATAATCCCTAGCAATACATTTTATGTAGTTATCAGTAATGCTTCACTGTCTCTCAGAGTTGATCCATTTACATTGAGAATTTTCATGTTTCCAGCTTTTCAACTAGTTGTATTTCATCTATTCCACTAACAGTATTGTTACTGAGTGGCAAAGCTTTCATGTCTTTGTCATCTTTTTCCATAATTGTTTTAAGAAATATTGATATTGATGGTTTGATTAAATTATCTCTACAGTATGATTTATATATAGATTGATTATGAGTACGGAAATTTCATATCTAGCCTAAGGATGATTGACAACTGCAGTGTGAGTAATGAAAAGAAACTTTAATGTTACTCTTTTATAAAATTCTTTTTTTAAAAGTAATTTACATGAGCATTATTATGTTTTGCCTTCAAATGTGTCTTAAGTCAGCTTCATTTCACTAATTCATTCGTCAAACATTCTAAGACCATTCACCATTAAAAGACAAAAAGATGATCATTCACCATCGTGGATAGCAAGTATGAAACCAAATTTTAAATATTCTGTATATTGATGAATTGTTTCTTGCAACACTCCTTTTACTGTGTGACTGAAAGATATAAATATAATATAAATTAAAAACTGTGTTAAAATAATTTAATTTTAGTACATAAAAATTAATTATTATATGCTTTTTCAAATAAATGAATAAAACAAAGAAATTGCTGAATTCAGACTATTAAATATATATAAAAATAATGCAAAAACACATAAACTTATTTTCCACTTGCTTTCTTTAAGAATCAAATTGCTCCCCTGTGGAGCTTAGGACCCACAATGATAAACACTGGTTGAAATAATATATACAGCATTATTTTGCATAGTCTCACCGTGATGTGATAATGTCCAAGGTTCTTTCCCTCTTCCTAAATAATAGAATATGCCAGTATACAGCATTGTCCCATAAACACCCAGAGGAGAATGAAAAGAGGGTCGAATATTCCGAACAGATTTCAGTTCTTTCCAAACATCACTCTCCTTAAGTTTCCTTTCATATTCTACAGGTTCAGGAGCTATAATAATAAGAAAAACAATTTAACAAGTATATTTAAGTAAGGATGGATATATATGGATTTCATATTTAAATATACATATAAATACAATATCATTGTATTATTTTAGATTTAAATATACATTTTAAGTAGTGTTAACTTTTATTCATTTCATCAGCTAAAAAATTAAATTGTTTATTGTTATTACTTAAAAATTTACAACATTGTAATCATATTAAAACACACAGTAATTTAAATAGCACTACGTTTCTAATTTTTTCATGCTTAACAATAATGTAATATAGATTTATTTTATTTGCATAAAAAATAACATGACCTTTTTTTCTTTAACATATTTCATAGAAGAACGAAAGCCCATATTTTAGTTCACTGCCAATTAAACAGCTATATATAATTTACAATGCCTGACAAAAGATTCAAAGCACCCCAATAAAAAATTTCAAGAAACTGAATTGTTTGTATATTTTACCACAGACAAGCTAAATATAGTACATAAATCAAATAACATTCCTGAAAGATGTTGGCTATTTCGTGTTGATATGTGTTGAATGATGGTTATAAATTTAATTACTACGGTTAATTTGTTGTGTTTATTTCAATTAACTGCAATCACTCTCACCCAGACAGCATATCTGGATGTATACTGCACAAAAAAAGGGGGACAGACAGTTCTATATCTCTCGTTCTACTAGGCCGATTGACGAAATTCAAACTGCGTTTTTCGTGTCTCGAAAGCGATACTTAGGATGTATTAGATTTATATATAGCATTGTTCTAATATAGGTAACCAAATTGCCAAGTTTTGCAAAAATCGCTCGAGTAGTTTTTAAAAAAATTAGCTCTCAAAATTTTAGCTCCTCAACATTAATTGAATTTGATTTAGATTTATTAATATTTCTTTTTTTTTACTAAACTTATTTGATTCTTCCTTTGATATTTTGAAATTTTTTATCATTCCAAATAAAATTCGCCTATTTTTTCATGATTTATTTTTAAAATTTGTATTTTTAAATAATTTTTATAAATTTTTTGAAAAATATTTTGAATTACAATCTACAAAAGTTTTACCATCATCTTTTAAAGTAGATGTGTTTCTAAGCATACCTGCAAAAAAAAAATTCAAAATTTACGAAGATATATGTGAATTTATATACTGGCGCGTTTTGAAATTTGGCATATTTGTTGAAAGCAATTAATAACATCAAAGGTGGCGTATGCACTTTGTTAAAATTATTTGAAAGTAGAAACAATGTGACTTTTTTTCCGCTCAACCACAATATAAAAAGCTAGGAACGCTGTGATTTTCTTCTGCTCCTGCAAAATGGAAGGGAAAGGAAAATAGGTTGCCATATGTTAAGAAGTTCGCCAAGTGAATTATTTTTGGTGCAAATTTAAAAAAAAAAATGCGCCAAGTTAAATTTTTTAATTTCTCTATAAATTCTGCACCAAATTTTACAAAACTTTATATTTAGGAAAAAAAAATTGGTATTTTATTTCAGGAAAAGCCCCATTTTGTGTCAAAATACTTATGTTAGAACAATGCAATATATAAATCTAATATATATTTTAAGTTGCGCTTTCAAGACATGAAAAACGCAATTTTAATTTCGTCAATTGGCCTAGTAGAATGGGAGATATCGAACTGTACCCCCTTTTTTTTTGCAGTGTACTATCTGTTACATAAGTCTGGAAGATGCTATATTGTTAGACAGTATGCTAAAAACTGGCATATTTCTTAACTGTGTGCCTTTAAAAAAACAATAATAAAATAATGAAAGAGAACTTATACTATCAATAGTTAGACAAGCATAAATATTTGTGACTGTAGTTGGCCATAGCCTTAAATATTTGGTGTGGCCTTAAATAATAAATACTCTGGGGGGGGATGAAAGTACAAGCTAAATGCAATGATTAATATTATTACAGTTAAGCTTTTCATTGCACTCACATTGGTGGTTTAACCTTTTAAATCCCATGCTATGACTGAAAAGCAAGAAATGTTATTTATTCATAAAAATTGCATTAAAACACAGTTATAAGAACTACAGAAAAAGGAATTTCTGGGGGGAAAAAGTGGTCATTAATTTTCAACATATTCTTATTTGGGAACATTGGCCTGTAGCGATATGTTTTTGAACATGTTTTGCAATCATAATAAATTAGCGTTAAAATTTGGCTTACATGCACAAGTTTTAAATAGTTCTGACTAAAAATTAAAATTTATTACTGAGTTACATATATTAAGCATTAATATTTAGGTCATACAGAAATGAATGACACAAATGCTACCACAGAACAAAATACAATTTATTAACAAAAAACTAATAGTACATCAGTTAGAAATAATTCCCGCCTATGTCAATACACTTCTGACGTCTGGCTGGGAAATCCCAAAGGGCTTTGGTAAACCAGTCAGTGGGGGTGTTGGTGCACCACCTATAGACAATTGCATGCAATTCGGCAGAAGATTCAACATGTTGGCCCCTGACTGCGTCTTTCATCTTGTCAAGCAAGACATAGTCCGAGTCCACCCACTTTGCACACACATTTATCATCTCCAAATCATCATGCCCAATTGTCTACAATGTTCCTAGTGCAAGTCCTGTCTCTTCCTTCATCTTGTTGAACATTAAGTGCCTGTTCACCACGATCAAATCTGACACGGCTGCCACATTTGCTGCTGTATGCGATGTTGCTGGTCATCCCGTGCTGACACCTTTGGCTCCAGTCTCCAATCCACTGCTGAAATTGGCCAATCATCAGGATACGGTACACCTTGAGGATGCTTTGTTCCCACACACCGACACCATACGACGATGGATCTCACTACTCTGTATCCCTTCTTTCCATAGGAACCATACTGTCCAACGCTGACTGTGATAATCACCTTCCATCATTGCTGTCCAAGCTCTCAATGACAACGGCGAAAGGGACGGGCGCTAACTTACAATGTTTGCTTGCGGCCAGCTCCATCTACGTTGTTTGAGCAGCTCATGCCCCCTTGTGTCTATTTTTCTTGTTTTTCCTTCGCATAGTGTAATAGTTTCATTAAGAGTTGTCATGTCAAACATTTCTGTACGATCCAAGCATATCTTTAAAATATAAAGTTGGTTTTAAACACTTACAAAAGAAAATATGATGAGAAAAAAATGAAAACAGACAGTTTATATATACAAACCTGAAAGAGTTCTGACTAAAATTTTTATATTTATTATAAAATGTATTATTTATTATAAATTATAGCTTAAACATTAATCATTTATAAAGTATTTATAATACAATAAATATAATATATATATATAATATATATTATATATATATATTATATTATTATTAATCATTTATAAAGATAAAGTTCTTCATCAATATGCTTATAAAAGAAATTATGAATAGAAAAATGTGAAAGCAAATAGATATATAGAAATAGACTAAAAAAAAAAAATAATAATTTACACCTATGTAAAAAGACTAATATTTAAGAAAATAAAAAATAACAACTTAATTTCTTATTCATAACAAAATCATAATTTTGTTTATTGCCTGAGTACTGGGAAAACCATTTCTTGGACTCAAAGCACCTTTTTTTTCACATTTTTTTAAGATTGTAAGTGATGTGCACACGGAATACTATGAATTTTCAGTTTCATTCAAATTAAATTTAAAGTTACTTCTCTTCTAAAGTTGAGATGCGACAGTACTTGAGCTGTGCGTTTGTGTATATAAATATGCAGAATTTATCCAACAATAATTGCCATGTCCAACTCATTATTGAATGAATTCCAGTACCATTTGTTACTCTGAAACTGAGGCTGATAAGTTTGCTTTACTTAGAGGCCCATGGGATGATTAATCGGATATTGCAGATACTACAGCATTGACTTTTCAGAGATGGCAAACAAACAAATGGTATTCCAATGGGAAGTTCTTATTCTGCTTACTTATGCAACCTCTATTTGTTTTCAAAAGAACATAAATTTTTTTAAAACATTTCAGATAATGATTTTAAAAAATTTTAACACACTTTCAGATCTATTGATGATATTATCACATACAACAATAATAAGCTTATTGAACCTAGCAGCATCTACCACAACTGTTTAATTTGGTCTTAAATTTCTTATTTTTTGCCTATAATTAATTTTCAGAAGCATATTGTGCAGAAATAATATTGGGATAATTTGTTTTAAAATAAAAAGTTTGTAATACTGTAATACTTATACAGGGTGTCTATAATTAAACAGCTTTATTTCAAAGCTGCCTACAGACGAAACCAGTGATAAGAAAACTGCGAAATTTTTGTGGTGGACTTAACGAAGGGATAAGAATTTCTTTCGCCAAAAAAGAAAAAAGAAAAAAAAAGTTACAAATAGCACCACCATAGGTTACACATTATATTAATAAATTACACATTTAGCCATGCCTTTAATATAGTTTTATAATTTTACAAATTTTGCTACAAAAAAACATGCTCCACATCATGATAGCCATCATTTTCAGCTACCATCTGTAATCGCAAGATGGCATGTTCCACAATTGATCGAAGTGTGTGCTGGGAAAAGTTCAGCATCTGGCGTACAATGTTGGCGTTGGCTTTAAGATCAGGTAAAGTTCCTGGATTATCATGACTTACCAGATGTTTCAAATGCCCTCAGAGCCAAAAACCATATGGATTGAGGTCTGGGGGATTGGGGAGGCCACACATTATGAAAGTGCTGGCTAATAACATGTTGCTTTGTAAAATGATGTTTAAGAACATTCATAACACACCATGCAATATGTGGAGGAACTCCATGTTGCATAAAGATTGTGTGTGCCTTACACACACAGGGATGGAACACTTTTGTTCTCTAAGAACAATGCATATCGCTGCCCGGTGATCAAGCATGTCACTGGGCCTGTGGAATTCAACTTCTCGAAGAAATACAGGAAGAGAATGGCATAGAATATCCACACCATACTGTCACTTTTGGTAAAATGCAATGGAACATCTAAGACACCATGTGGATATTCTAATTCCCAAATTTGGCAGCTGTGAGTATTCATTGCACTGTCCAAATGAAAATGCGCTTTGTCTGTCAGAGGATATTCCAAGGCCATTGTGAATCGACTTCAAAACGAACACGATACCGAAGTGAGAACCAGAGTCAAGCATCAAAATCATGTAGAACCAACCGCTGCATTTGTGAAAGTTTATAAGGATAATATCGGAAGATATCCTTATAAACGTTCATTGCAGCCATTGCATTTATCAATAAGATCTTGCGGATTATTCTTCACTAGATCTTATCGATAGAACGTGATCTACTCAGCGCCTCTGCTTTATGCAGGACACTGGTGTTAGCCTGAAAGTTTGAAGCTGTGTCCTCTAACCTCAAGTGCAAACTTATGTACTGCTCCTGCAGACCAGTTTTTTTCCCTTCCTCTTCCAGGATGAACAGAAAATGACCTTGTTGTTTTCTTATTTTGTTATCACTTTCAGAAGGTTTTTAACATTTATTTGGACTTCATAGAAACAAAGTCCGAAATTTCCATAGAGTAGCTGTTATGGAATTACTGTTTTGGCAAAACAATTTTACTAATAAAGTGCAATCTAGTAAACTTTATCATCATTGTGAGCAACAAGCAGATTGAAAACAAAATCTCTGTGAATGTTTCTAGGTTTTATAACAGCTACTGCATGACATCGACAAAGATTTATGTTTTTACTACAGGTTTTCAAAGTAAAACGCCCTCTGGTGATGCTATTTATAACTATTTTTTTTTCCTTTGAAGGAAATTCTCATCCATTAAACATTACATTATACAATACATAGAGTATATTATATAAACACAGAATTCATAATATTCTAATATAGCATTTGTGTTTTCTGATATAAAAGTGTAAAATGAATCAAAAGATAAATATCGAGAAAATTTACCAGTTGTTGCTGATTCTACGTTATCTGAAGTGATGAGGTCATAAACAGTTTCTGCAGCTATTATGGCACTCTTCATAGCATTATGTGTCCCTTTTATTTTAGGCACATTCATAAAACCAGGACTGCAGCCAATTAGACATCCACCCGGAAATGTAAGTTTAGGAATGCTCTAAGACAGTAGTCAGAATAAAGAAATCCAATATAATTAATCACTTGGATATACATTTCAAAAAGACAAAGCTAAAGAAATGAAATGGATGTTGACATTAGAGAAATGATAACTTAATTTAAAAATACATTAAATCTTCAAAATATCTTTGCCAGTGCTGTGAATATGAAGATAAACTAAAATGGTATCAATTAAATACAAAATGGAAATACTTTATAATGCATTATTGTATTTTACATAATCTTTTAGATAGTATAAATAATTCCTTTACAAAATAAAGTGATAAAATATGTCTTACTCAAAAATCTGTCATTTATTGTATGTCAATGATATAATACAAGGTACATTACAAGGTATCTTACAAGATACTTCTAAATTTATTGTTAATTTGTTAATTTATTTATTTATTTATTTATTTATTTATTACTTATTGCATGTTCCACCCTTGGGCATTTATTGGCTCTGCCTTTTGAAAATGGAGGAATGCCCCGTGGAAGACTTTTTAAGGAAATTGGCTCATACATGTTACATATGTGGAAAACCATGAAAACGCCCATGCAGCCACCTCATTTGCCGGGTCTCAAACCCCTTACCAAACTACCAGTGCTCAGTGGCTTTTACCACTCGGCCATTGGTGAGCCTCATTTAGGTACTAATAGTAAAATAATTGTACTGTGTAAATCCTTCCTTATATATTATAGTACCTCCCAATAAGGGATATCTACTGGACCAGATATTTTTCTCTTAAATGCAGGTATCCCTTCTTTAAAAAAATAAATAAATAAATTGTAATTTAAGTAGAAATTTAGGTTGAATCAGGCTTTAAATAAATGATATATATAAATAAGTATCTTAGTCACAGGTATTTATTTGAACTTGAAGTTAATGAAAAATGAAAATTCTTAATTAAAAAAGTTTAATTATTGCATAGATGTACGAAATGAACAATAGTATTTCAGACTTACAAAAATTTATTAAAATATTTTTGGAAAGTCTGTGAGCTGCAAGCACTTTTCTCTCGTGTATATTAAAGTCACTAATAATCTTAAGTCTTTCACCATCTCCAACAGTCATTGTGAACTTTTTTAATTAGGAGTTATATTTCAAGGCACCTGTATAGTTTTCTATGTCATGCTTTTTGATCTGGCTCTTCTTCATCTTTCTCACTCCTTTCCCAGCTAGTTTTGTTAAAGCTAACATCTGCAACTACAGTTGAAAGAAAGGATTTTATGCCAATCTTGGTGTGTTCAGTATACAAGTTTTTATCAATTTCTGAATATTCTTGCATTTGAACACTGCCACAAATTTTGATAAGTTCAAATAATTCCTTTTCTTCATTAGTATTTTCACTGAGGGCACTTGAAAATGGAATTTCAAAAACCTGCTTTCTTAAAACAGTGCTTGTGATATAGATTTAACAGCCTTTTATATTGACTGTATTAAATTCAATACATTGATATACTTTGTAAGCTGATCACGCTTTTCACAAGCACTTGACAAAGAACATATCATAAAAACAGTTTCTCTTTAACGAATCTTAAAGCTTCTAATTATACCCTGGTCCAAAGGCTGTAATACTGATGTTGCATTAGATGCAAAAAACACTAATTTCACTGATTTTAGTTTTACATTTGATGGATGAGCTGGCGAATTTTCAAGAAATAGCAGAATCTGCCTATTTTTTCTAGATATTGTTTCATCAAGAGCAATCAACCATTCTGACATTATGCTTTGCGTCATTCATGACTATTTATTGTGATACCAATGAACTGATAGTTTTTTTAAATGATGTGTTTGAAGCATCTTGGTTTTTAAGCTTTTCCATGTACAAGTGGTTGCTCAGACTCTCCATCTAAGTTACAATATAGCACCATGAGATTTTTTTGGAGCTTTTACAACTACAACACTTTCCTCTTTTGAAGCATAGAGTTATACTATGCAAAATTTGATAATCTAGTTTTATCTGCATTGTAGTCGATTTTGCCTCATGTCCTTCACAAATTTAATTTAGCTATTTTATCCAGTCTGTTACATGTGACTTATTTTTCTTCATTACTAGTAGTTTTAATAGTAATGTGTCTTTACTTAAATTTGTCTAACCAACCATTTGATGCTTTGAAGTTCTGTAGTCCCAGATTTTTCGAAACTTCTTTTGCCTTTTCTTGCAATAATACTCCATTTACAGGAATACTGTTTGCTCCTGCAGAATAAAACCAACTGAAAGCTACTGTATCACTTTCACATGTTTAAGTTTCTCTAAATTTCAGAATGTTCATTTGAATTAGTAATCCATAATATTTATATTTCTTCTCTATCCTTTAGTACATGACTTACTTCGGTTTTACTTACTCCAAATTCCTGCCCTAAATCTCTCAAACTAAGCTTCTTAATTTATGCTACATGAATTATATAAACTTTTTGTTTCAATTTTTTCTTCTTTGAAGCCGTGCTAGATAACACATGTAAAAATAACTCACATGTACAAAACTATATTTCTTTTTTTCCCCAGTTCCAGTAAGAATTTAATATAGAAGTTTTCACCCTATCCACATTGTGAGATTCCCTTTGCCTTGAAAGATGGTCCAATCATCTCACCACCTTTTCTTTTAAATTGGTACCTGTCTTGGACTACCTTACAACTCACTAACCGTGTTTTCTTTCACATACTGAAAACTGTAGCAAGATTAAATGGATTTTGAATTCTAAAAATGTGAAATATCCTTTGGATTGCACCACAACTTGCTTTTTCCCAATGTATTGCTCTCCTTTTTGCTACTGTAAAGCAGTTTTTAAACCAGAGGGATAAACTTTTATATTTCATTGTTCCTTTATCACAAGACTATTTTTCACTCAGCATAAACTAGCCTTTGAAATCCCAGAAGATTACTAACAAAGAATTCCATTTTTATTTATTCTCTAACTTTATTTTATTTTTGAAACTTTTTTCAGTTTCCCTTAAGTCCCCCCTTTAATATGTTCATTAATAAGAGTTAAACACATTAAGGTCTCTATTCAAAGGTACCCTAACAGGAGGTACTACTGTTTACAAATGAGTTAACAAATTCCCTAACTTTAAATTTTTTTCTAACTGCTGAAGAAAATTATTATAACAGAGACATAAAAAGAGAGATGATTAGTTAATTTTAACAATTCTCTCATAGCTTTTTCAAAAGCAATTAAATATATTTAATATTCTATGCCAAAGCTCACAAACTAAAGAGATATACTGTTAATGAAAATTATGTTGATTCACAAAAATTAGAAAGCTAATGCATTAAAGAAAACATGAAATATCTAAGATGAGATTTTGCTTGGTATGCATTAAATTGCATATTCAACATTAATTATAATTATATCCTTTTATATGTATTTATACAACTCATTTCAAACTTTAAAAGCAGTGATCTAAAGTTCTTTGAAATTTTTTGAGGTGTGTATTTAGTGTATATAAAATTATTACTTTCCTATATGCACATTAAACTTATTTAAACAATTCACAATATGTGACTGAAAGAACAACCAGAATAAAGATTATAAAAAAGAAAATTTAGAAATGAGAATAATAGCATATGTTAGAAAAATATCCCGCCCCCCCCCAAAAAAAAAAAAACTTCAATTTTTCGATGAAATATAAAGTAATAATACATTATTTAATATTCACATAGTTTTTCTTTTTGCACTACTCTTAAATACAAATTTTAAGAAGTCAAGAATTTGTTTTAATGATTTCTCATTCATGAATCCATTTTACTAATAGCAAGAATGCTAATATATATTTTTAACTGTCAAGAGCATGCCTATTTATTATATTTATTATGCATTTATTTTAAAATCTGAATTTTTAAAAAGTGATCCAAAACATTTTAAGAATCTGGCTCTAAATATTTGGCTGAAAAGAATAAGATTTTTAAAAAATTGTTTAATTTTTCAGTCTTGTTCCTTATTTAATTTTTTAAATAGTAATTACCTGGAATCCTCCTTCATTTAGAGCTCTTGCTCCATATGCAATACGAGTTCCTCCTTCAAACAGAGGTCTAACTGAAGGGTGTAATTTAAACCTCTGAAATTCTTGAAAAGGGCTGATGTATGAATTATTGTAATCTAAACCAATCACAAAACCAACAGTAACAAGAGGAGCACCTTCATCAAGATGATATAAAAATGATCCTCCATATGTTTTGTAGTTCTAAACAGAAAAAATATAAATAACTCCTTGAATAAGTCAATAAAATGAAAGTCATTGAAAGTACATAAAAACAAACAATGGATGACACTTAAATTGATATAAAAAGTAATATGATTCCATGACATCAATTAATTCACTTAATTAAAATGTGAATTAAAACCAAATTAAAATTAATTTTTTGATTTCATACCTATTTGATATTTATATTACTATGGCATATATTAATTATTACATATTTATATGTCCATAATTAAAATTTAAAAACCATATGTTACTATCCGCATTTTCAATGAAAAGGAAATTGCAGTAGATCCACATATAAAATATGGATTTACTATGATCCACCACAGATCTTGCAAAGATCTTGGGGGTAAAATCTACCATCTGCAAAAATTTGGCACTGTAATCAAGTTTGAACAATGAGATTATCTGTCCATTGATAACAGCAAGTAGAAATTATTGCTTCTATGATTTACTGCCATACTAAAATTTGGCTCATTCCTTTAAGCCAGCATAAAGCTCATTTGAATTTAAACAAAGTACACATTGTCTAGGCATCAGCCAAAGCAAAAATTCATCAATATAATAAAATACTGTGCTTCTAATGGATTTGGTCAACACAATCCTTTAAAGCTTCATCTACACAAGGGAAGACATGTGCCTGTGCCACTTCATCTACACAGGGAAACACATCTTTGGCACGTCAGATACAGTAACTACACCAGGAGTCATAATCTTTGTGCATAACAGGATACATAGTCAGTGGAAACATATTTGGTGACAGCCAATAACATAGCATAAGGAAATCATGTATCCAGAAAAAGGGTAGCTACTCTCAGCATTTAGTTTGCTGAATAGCATGACATAAATCGTTTGGAGTTTCTGCATTTATTTTGACAAAATTAATCAATTTAAGATGCAATATTTCTTTTGAATCAAAATTTCCAATTGATTTCTCTATAAACAGAATATTTTTTTCACCTTGACACTATTGTAAGCTATACAGCAATGTATTGTTTTACCTCAATTGTTAGCATTAACAAATAAATTAAAATATTTTTCCTGTTTAAGGGGATTACTATACTCTTATGTTCTGGGAAGTCTGACAGACAAGAAAAGCTTAATTTATCATCTGTTTGCATTTGATTATATTTCCAATTTTCTATTGTTAATGATTTTTCAACTTTTGAACTACGTCTAACTAACTCAATCGTTTGGCACATTTACTGAAGTATTTAAATTTTCTGTGAATTGCAGATTGTGAGTTCGAAAACAACTGAGATATTTTCTGTTTTTTTTTTTTTTTTTTTTTTTTTTTTTTTTTCCCTACTGAAAATAAATATTTTATTGTTTTTGTAATTAGCGAAGTTCTGTTACTATAAAAATTATTAAATTTTTTACTTGAAACATACAATAATCACAAGTTGCTTTATTATTATACATAAAATATATATATATGTATTCTATTATTATACATAAAATATTATATATGTTATTTTATTATTCTACATAAAATATTATTTATGTATTTTATTATTATATATAAAATTTTATATCAATTAATTATTTGCATTATAATTTTATTTTAATTATATAAATATAATTCTTAGCTTTTTATTATTTATAAAGCGATAAAATTTGTTTTTCTTTTTCATGTACTTTTTTTTAAAGCATTTTTTGATGCTTTAATATTAATCTATTTATCAGCAATATGTGTTATATTTTTTGCTATATATGAAGTAATCGATTTATTTTCTACTTTCACATAATGTTTATATATATATATATATATACGTACATGTATTATATTTCATAATAATTGCTTTCCTTTCCTGTTTGATTAATTATATTTATATATTTTTCAAAATTTATAATTCTTATTTATTTATTTATTTATTTATTTTCATTTTTATTGGTCTTTTTAATCATTGTTGCTTTCTGTCTGCTATTAAGCCATCTGTTTTTATTATTATTACTGCAACTTATTTTTAGAAAATTGAACCTTAAAAGATAAAGGCATTGAAAACTTTGCAGATTATTATGTTTGTTGTGAGATCAATGAAAGTCTACTGGATATAAATAACATCATCTTCTTTGACTACTCTGATTGGCTTAGTAGATCAGAGGAACTTATATATAAAATCTCCCTGTGTACTTGAAATGCTATCAGGAGACATGTCTGTGAGGGAAAATTGTTCAGAGATATGTCCTTCATGTAAAAAGCGCTTAAAATGCAAGCATAACTGTAGCAACTACAGTATTTCATTGAAAACTATTAGCAGCTACAGTATTTCAGAGAAAATGTCACTAAACAGAACAGTGTTACTTGATTCCTGCACAATAATGCATCACAGCAAGCACCATGAATGATCTGCCAGAAATTACCAAAGCTCGGCTGGAAAGTTGGCTTATTTCAACATGCAACCTTGGATTTGCACTAACAGATTGCTACCTTTTCTACAAAACAGCCAAGTTGAATAAATGGCAGGAAAAAAAGGTTTGCTTCAAATCTGATTGATATCTAAAGCAAAAGGGTCCTAAAACATTATATTGACGGAAAGATAACGATGGGATGATGATCATTTTTCACTAAGATATACACACATACATAATGTATTCCATGCAGCCTTCTATATCTCAAAAAAGACAAAAAAATAACTGAATTTTTAATATAATATAATATATATGGAGAAATCTCTTAAGACAAGTATCTATCATTCCCGATAATTTTGGTCTTTGGTGGAGGTGATCAGTTCACAGAACAGGTTTTGGTGATGATAGTTATTCATTAGCATAATGGCTTTTAACATGACTTAAAAATACTGAGAAGTGCAATACAGCAGTTAATTAACACAGAAAAGTAATAAAACTATGAATTAATTACAAAAAGATATGAGTCAGTGAGTAATAAAAGTAATAAGGGAAAAAAATCTTACAGTTACTTTTTCATACATTGTTAATTGCCGAATTTTAAAATATTGAAAAGAGATCTTAACACGAAGGAAAACATACCAAAATTTTACGGTATAATTTTGTTTATTTATGTCAAAACACTCATTCTTTAGCCAACTGATTTTGTCTTTTGGTCAATCATTATCTTTTAAAACAGTCTCAGGCCTCCATGAAATCATCCCTCCATTACGCAGATAGCTTTGATATGTTTTACCTTTACCAGTCAAATATATAAAACAATTGAACTTCAAAAGTAAGTCAATCCTTTTATTATTATCTAGATAGATTTAAAGTAATCTACATTAAAATTGATATTTATATCAACATTTAATTCAGTATTTAAATGTTTGCTTTCTATTCTCTGTTAGAATTATAATTTTTTAATTGTTACTTTCATCATGTAATAACATATTTTTAAAATTATTTCTTGAACATATTTTCATCCATCCTATTCCTTACATTTTGCACATATTCAAATACATCTGTCAAATGTTTTTTTTATTTCTAATTAATCAGTTCATCTGCATTTTCTACTGATTAATCGCAATCAGAGATATTATATGGAGTTGATATTGAAATTTATGTAATTTATTTATAATTCTGGGCACCAAGGTTATGAAGTAGTTGTATTGGTATACAAAAAAAATCAGTGTTATTAAATCTTTTGATGATAAAGAAGCATTGCATAAAATTAATAGTACATTGTAATTTTTTTTTTTTTTTTTTTTTTTTAGTTTGCAAATACATTTTTTGATATAGTCAGTGAAAACAATACCTGATAAACAGGAACAAACAACCTGAAAAACAAGAGTTGTTTGTCTTAAATTTCTTGATTGAACAATATCAAATGAAGAAATGATCTCAAGTTATACAAAACTTAAACAACTTCTTTAAGAATTTTAGCACTAAGCAAGAATTTTCATGCATGAGAATGATGCCAAAATCACGTCATTTTCTTTATGCAGCTTGAATAATAAGCTATATAATTATAGGTTCCATTTTTATACCTTTATTGCTAGAATTTATTAGCTATTTTTATAGCTTAATTGTCTTTTATTTATTTGTTTTAAAATTAATGTCTTACCATATTAGTACTTTTTCACCTGTTCTCTTTAAGAAATATTCTCAGCAACATTTTCAAAATTTGTAATCAGGTTTCAGCATTTAAATGCTTTCCTGTGCAGCAATTATTTTATGCTTTACAAACATCTTAGAAAAAAATTATATATTGGGGGGGGGGGAACACACACGCACACACAAGCATACAACTAATCTTCAATCTAGTACATGAATCATGTGCTCATTCTTTAAGTTACTGTCTATTTTTATGACTTTTAAAGCAAAGATGACTCGTTTATCATCAATGGTGGGAAAAAAATACTAGAAGAAATTACTTCTTCCCAATGAGAAGAAACTAAATTTTTAATTCTATCCTCTGTCGCAAATATTATTAGGGGGGTTAATCACGCTGGTCAGTGTTCTGATGTCAACCATTCTTCACTTTTTGCCATAAGAAAGAAGCAATTTATTATTTATTTAATTTAATTTATTATTATTTATTCAATTTAAGCAATTTATTAGTCATCTTTTGCCTCAGCTTTTGTTGACCAGAGAGAGAAGCTTCAAGTTTTGTTAGATAAATTGCGCTTTTCCATTGCATAGCCAATGAAGGGTTTTCGTCACTGGGTGTGTGAAATGAAGGGATTTTTCCAATCATTATTCACTGGATGAATGAAGGGAAAGGTAACAAGTTTTTCTTCTCTGACATTAAGGACATGAAGTGAAGTTTTCCCATTTTGGAAAGGTAAGAGGAATTGTATTTTGTTTCTCATGCATTTGGCAACTCATTGATGGGGTTCAAGATGACAGGCTTTGATGACAGCTGTTTTCTTTCAGATGGTGTGAGGATAAATTTTTCACACTGTATTAGTCACAGCATGATTTAAATTTTATCTTCCAGTCAGTAATATTTAGATGGGCATTGAAAGTTAGTTTTCCTCAGAAGCTGTACAGCATAGAAAACAGATTTTGTTTGGTTCTTGAAGAAA